ATGCGAGACCCCTGCGCCGCCACTTTGTCTTCTTTTTCTTCCCGCCTTCATCCTTTTCTCCCTCTCTCTCTCTCTCTCTCGCTCTCTCTCTGTGCCCCCTGTCGCGCGCAAGCTTGCCAGGCCTGAAACAAAGGCGAGCCCCCCTGCGCCACCATTTTGTCTCAATGTTTTCCCCGTCTCATCTCTCTCTCTCTCTCTCTCTGTTTCTCTCTCTCTCTCTCTCTCTCTCTGTTTCCGCGGCTCGTTTGCGTGCCTGGCCTCAAATGAGGCGAGCCCCCTGCGGCGATATGTTGTCTCCATGTTCTTCCCGCCTTCATCTCTCCCTCTCTCTCTCTCTCTCCCTCTTTCTCTATCTCTCTCTCTCTCTCTCTATCTATCTCTCTCTGTTTTCGTCGCGCGTTTGCCTGCCTGGCCTGAAATGACGCGAGCCCCCTGCGCCGCCACTTTGTCGCCTTTTTCTTCCCGCCTTCATCCTTCTCTCACTCTCTCTCTCTCTCTCTCTCTCCCTCGCTCTCTCTCTCTCTCTCTCTGTTTCTCTGCCCCTGTCGCGCGCAAGCCTGCCAGGCCTGAAACAAGGCGAGCCCCCTGCGCCACCACTTTGTCTCCATTTTCTTCACGACTCATCTCTCTCTCTCTCTCTCTCTTTCTGTCTCTCGTCTCTCTCTCTCTCCCTGTTTCCCTTGCGTGGGCATTCTCTCTGGGTTTCCAGCTTTTTCTGTGTTTCCTTACTTCTGCCCCCGATTCAGCCGAGGATGGGTTACCACCCCCAGCCCGGACGCAAGGGGCTACCCCTGCGCCCGATTCGGCCGCCGATGGGTTACCACCGGCGGCCTGGAGACAAGAGGTTACCCCTGCCCCCGATTCGACCGAGGATGGGATACCACCCCCGGTCCAGACACAAGAGGTTACCCCTGCGCCCGGCCGCTGTCTCGTCGTCGTCGTCGTCAGCACCTGAGTCGCCCTTTCGGGCACGCGGGCCCATGACAGTAACAAGTATTCCGGCGACCAGCTCGGATGAGGCGACCCGCAATTCACTCACAGAAGAGGCTCCCGCCTCATACTTCCCGAATATGCAAACCTCAGCGGCCCGAAAGTGAGGCGACTTACAGGGACTTCCTCACAATTCACTCACAGACGAGGCTCCCGCCTGATACTTCCCCCATAATCAAACCTGAGGGAACCAAAAATGACGACACGTACCAGGAATTAGGATGACCCGTTCTTATTAGTAACATGATCTGAGGGCCCCATAGGCTCTGGCGCGTTGCAGGCGGAGCCAATGCTTTCCTGATGTTTCGCGCAGATGTCCTCATGGGCGGCTGCAGAAGGACCTCTCACGTCGAGCCTCCCCATACCGTGCGTGAGGTGTGCCGAAGTGGGCGGGGGGACGCATGCGGACCCTGCCGCTGGGGCCTTCGGTGGAGCTCCCTATGGGGCCACGATCCTCGTGAGGGGTGTGCCGAAATGGGCGGGGGGGCGCATGCGGACCCTGCCGCTGGGGCCTTCGGTGGAGCTCCCCAGTGGGGCCACGATCCTCGTGAAGGAGTGTGCCGAAGTGGGCGGGGGACGCATGCGGACCCTGAAGCTGGGGCCGTCGGTGGAGAGCTCACTATGGGGCCACGATCCTCGTGAGGGGTGTGCCAAAGTGGGCGGGGGGACGCATGCGGACCCTGCCACTGGGGCCTTCGGTGGAGCTCCCTATGGGGCCACAATCCTCGTGAGGGGTGTGCCGAAATGAGCGGGGGGACGCATGAGGACCCTGCCGCTGGGGCCTTCGGTGGAGCTCCCTGTGGGGCCACAATCCTCGTGAGGGGTGTGCCGAAATGAGCGGGGGGACGCATGAGGACCCTGCCACTAAGGTCTTCGGTGGAGCTCCCTGTGGGGCCACGAACCGTGAGAGGGGTGTGACGAAAATGGACATGCGGAGAACAAAGTCACGACGCTGACGATGACGATGTTTATGACGCCGATGATGGCGATGGTGATCATAGTGAAGATCACGATAATCATGGTGAGGACGGCACGCGGAGAGGAGAGGCAGGGATGGGAGGAGGGAGGAGGGGGAGGAGGGGGAGGAGGGGGAGGAGGGGGAAGAGGAGGAGAGGAGGAGGAGGAGGAGGAGAGGAGGAGAGGAGACGCAGGGCGCTGTCTCTTCAAAACGTGGACCCAACACCACAGGGCGGTTGGGGGGGGGGGGGGGGGGAAAAAAAGCACATAAACATAAACTTTTGGCGCTCCGCGCGGATGTCTTGGATCTGCGCTGGACCCCCCTCCCTGGCGCGCTCCGCGCCAGGGGCGGCGCCAGAGGCGCCGCCGAGGGGGCCCAGCGCGGATCCAAGAAATCCGCGCGGAGCGCTAAAAGTTTATGTTTATGGCGTTTTGCGTCTTCGAGTAAACTCTGGTCAAAGCGCTGAGCCGTCGACGCGCACGTCTCCGGAGGAAAAAGCCCCTCCCGGGGCCCGAAGCAGGAGAAACAGATCCTCCTGCGAAGGGCCTATGC